GCCAAGGTGGCTGAGTCTATAGTTTAACAAGATAGCATTTTTAAGCCCTGTGAAGAAGACAGCATAACAGCAGTAGTTTGTACCAAAAAAGGACTTAAAGATGTCAGATTCAAGACAGGCATATGGGGCAAGTTAAATAAAAAACAGCATTTCATGAAGGGCATGGCCTAGAGTAAAGGGACAAATACATACCAAAGCTGTTCCTCAAGATGCATATGGCATATTGCTCATGTCCATTTCACAATACAATTGTGCATTTCTCTATTTTTTTGCCCAAATAGTTGTACCTTGTTGCAGTTTATTAAAGCACATTTGTCACATAACAGGAATATAAAGTTACCCTCTGTCTCCTTCATGTAGGATCTTCGCCATATATTTTTGGACTACAACTCCCATGCTGGCAGGAGAATTTGGAATTACTCCAAACAACAGTAATTTCCAAATGTTCTCTCTTACTCTTTCACATCTCACACAAGTATTTTTAAGATTCCTATCCCAACCCATTTCCAGCACAGTCCCTGTTTCGATTGATCTCATCTTTCCCTTGATGTTTCCATGTGATACAGTAATTCTTTCCAATTCTTTCTGCAGCTTGAGTGCTCATTAGAATTGGCAACTCTCCTTCCTGTGGATGCTCAAAGGAAATTACTCCTTTTCCCCCTGTTCTCCCAAACACAGGAGAGAAGGCAGGTTGCCAGAGAGCCAATGGTACCAACCTGCTCTATTGGACACCTGTCCAACCTCACCCAAGGAAGGGGCCAATTCAGCTTTGACCAGACAGAAAAACAATGCCATCGTTGGCCAGGCTCACTACTCATGAATGATGACATCTCTTTAGAATTTTGCTGGCTACCTGAAATCTTGTTTCTCCATTAATCAATTGATTGGACAAGACAAAAGTGAGATGGATTTGGCTTATGAAAAGTACCACGGCCTGTCATTTTCTCAACAAAATGCTTGTTCATTGCTTTGGTGTATTTAAGTCATGTTAAGACACGCTAAATTACTGGAACGTGTACAGGTTGTATAAAGAGCTAATTGGCTGTCTCTGCTCTTTCTCAGCTGTCCTGGACAAACCTGTTCTGAGGATTAAACACAAGGTTTCAGCCTGTTCCCATCTTTGAGAGACTGCAATGCAGAAAATTGGAAACAAGTGATTAGGGATTTTTTTTTCCCATACATGTTTTGTGTATGTGGTTAATAAACAGAACTGGGAGGGGGAAAATATAACACAATGTTTAAATATTTGAAAGGATGTCATATTGAGGATGGAACAAGCTTGTTTTCTGCTGCTCCAGAGACTAAGACATGGAACAATGGATGCAAGCTATAGGAAAAGAGATTCCACCTAAACATTAGGAGGGACTTCCAACAGTGAGAGCTGTTTGACAGTGGAACACACTCCCTTCTTCTTTGGAGGTCTTTAAACA